AGGAGCTAGCCCGGCCTAGAGTTTGGCATGTAAGCCCCGCATGACAGGGATCATCAAGCAGTACTAATTGCAATATGGTCTCAACACGCATTGTGATCTAAGCATCAACTTACACCGGACAGTGGCGACCTGATGCTTGCATGCCATAGCTCTAGAGGCTGGTCATCGTGCACGATGCGGCTCATAATTTAATCCTGACCAACCGCACTTGATTCAGATACTGTAAATCAATCACGATCCCAGGATACACATTGTGAGCCCGTATTGTTTCTTCAGCGCTCATGCGCACATGTGCCCTGCGTGCAACGGCCATTTGGTCAACGACCAAATTTTTAGCGGAGCCGGCGCGGTGTCGCACCAGGTGAAGATGAACCATGACCCTGCAGTAAGCATTAGTTGTCAGCGATGTTAGAAATCGACTGGAGTAGCTCAGCGGGAATAACCTGGTGCGCATGTGGCCGTTCAGGCATTTTTTTCGACCAGGTCGCGGTACGTGCCGCCGCATGTCGGATTTGCAGGATTGCATTGATCCAATATTGGGTCAGATCGATTTGAAGCAGTGTAGGAATAGTGGCAATCAAGCGCCAGGTTAACGCTAAACAGGACCCGCTTTGAAAGGCTAGCGCGTGATTGTATATGCATGGGCACCGTACTATAGTGAAAAGATCGCGGGATTGCCCGGAAGCCTGATGCGCTTGACGCCACGTATGCCCAGGCCTGATCAATCAGGCATTTTCTAGGGCCAGGTTTAGATATTTGTAGCACTGCTGGAGCAGGCGGCGCAAATATATGCGCCAGGTTCACGATGAGACGTGGCACAGCCTTAGGCGCTTGCCGGATCACTGAAAAATGAGCTGCTTGAGTCGGTCATGTTTAAAGCCACCGTGATCCACGTGCCCATCATGAATGTCAAATGTTAGCTGACTATATAGAGGGCTAAGGTTACTTTTCGCCATCTGGGATGCTCAGACCAATGCTTAGTCTATTCACATTCTTCCAAATTACAGTTGAAGCTAGTACTGCAGAACATTCATTTGTGTTTGGGTCATACCATATCAGAGCACCCACATGCCCAGCACCGGATTCGCAAGAGAGCTTGTTTGTGAAGGCCATTTTTATACATGTGTGGGTCTTTACGGTTGCTGTGAGTCATTTCTTCCGCGCAGGACAAAGCTGAAGCTGGCTATGCACGAGCGCAGGCGGTGGCGATCAAGACGCTGACTCAGTTTGTGATTCGGCTCTGCAAGCGGTCCAAGAGCAGTAGCAGCCGCATTGGTTCCTGGTTCGCTGCCCTTAAGGACCCCCCTTCACGCATCAATGGCTGAACCGCGTCAAAAAAAGGAACTCGTTCGTGCACCGTCGCCTGTTTTTTTAAACTTGCGTGGCTCCAGGAGCTGGTTGGCCCGAAGCTCTCGGCGAAGAAGTACCGACGTAAATCAGATGATGATGCAGGCCAGCTGTTTGCAAACACACGTACTGCGTATGAAAGCTGGAAGAAGCTCGAGCCATTAAGACCATTATTTGGCCAGCCGTTGAGCATGTTGCCAGGGGGGTTCAATGTTTTGTGACAATCAACTCACACACATCAAACTATTTGGCAGAAAGTTGATTGGTTTTCAGACATGAATCAACGACACCCTCAGAGGATTTGTTTATTTTCAGGCTGTGTAGGGACCTGATGGCTTCTGCGTGAAATTCCCATAAATTCCCACACGCTCGTCTCAGGAGACGTCCCTAAGCAGCTCGTAGCAGTTGTTGCAGCCCGCAAGCTTTCCCTCCTCAGCCCATCGATCCCCGCCTGCAACACCGGCAGAAGCTAAAAGCACGACTGGCAGGCACATGTTTTCAGCCATGTGCGCACCGCCATAGATTCATTTGACGGCAGGATATACCGAAGAACGGACAGCCGACAAAAAAAACGTCGCGAACCCAGTCACTTGGCCAACGGTATTTTGTTTTCAAGCAGGCGTCTTCAAAGCTTAAATGTAGTCTGGCTCGCTGCATATTTTTGCTGCTCAGGACGATGCCGAGACGCAGCCCGTGGACATTGAGGCGGACTTGGAGGACTGGCGTGTTTTTGCTGTGCGCCCTGTTTCGACCTTGCGCTCAATCGCACCAGGAGCAGATCAGAAAGATCGAGAAGGCTGCTTGAGCTTGGCAACACATGTGAGCGTGTCAGTGTTTGCATGTGGAGGCTGAAAGGGACAATAAGCAGGCGCCTGTCGAAGCGACCTTAGAGAGCGCACGTGTGCTTTCTTGATGCTGCATGTTAGTGATTGCTCGCGCAAACTAGTGCTCTGTCTTTGAAACTCAGTTTCGCTCTTGCGCTCATCAGGATCTCCCGGCGTCCTCCGGCTTGCGAATCTGGACGCGCAAAACAGAGTAGCACTGCTGCAGTGACCATGAACCTGGCCTTCTGCGTTGGCTCCTCGCGATCGAAGATCTCCTGAGTTGCGCACCCCATATGATGGGTCCATCTTGAATAAACTGGGATGAATCGATCATGAATATAAGGGTCAACATCAAAAGTTGATGGGCGTTCAGGAATTGCCACGCGACGCAACAGATTGCAAGTGCACATCAAAGGATCCCGCCTGAGATGTGGCATCATTCTCCGGGCCCTTGGAGGATGAGGACTCAGTTGAAGAGGCAGGTCATCACGCTAACAAGTTGGATGCGCTCAAGCCATGATGGACGCAGGTGGATCCTGATCAGATCCCCGCGCCGGAGGTTTCAACATCATTGGCTGTTGCAGTCGTTGTAGTTCTGTTGTATTGTCAGGAGCCGAAACCTGATGCCACTGCGAAAGCAAAAGTCAAGAAGCCGCGGAAGGCGCCTGGTTCGGTCATCCCAAACCATATGTGACTGTGCTGTTGCGTGCGTGTGTGCGTGTGTTCCGATACGCAGGCACCGGATGGTCCGATGCACAAGGCGTTTGAGGCCTTCTGCAGGACAAGTGCGTGACGTGACTAGTTGCTCGCAAAGTCTCCAGCGCAAGAAATCACAGTGTGCAGCTGGCCAGGAACGCGTGGGAGAAGCACACAGTGCACCGACATGTGCTGGCCTCGGCCGACATGATTCATTGTGTCAACTTCAACTAACTGTCACGTGCAATATGATACCAATGTTACCCCACACAAGGTTGCGGCCAAGCTTTGGAAGCAGAGCACAGTGCGGCAGATACTTGGCCAGTTCAGTGCTATCCAAAGCCAAGCTATGTGATTTGCGTTGCTTGCAAACATTTTCTGGCTCTTTCCAGCCATGTGCTGAGGACAATACTGGATTCAATTCCTGATGCTGAACGAAAACGTCGACGTTATTAGATAGGCACATGTCTGCACGGCTGACGGTGTGAAGAAAACAAGCAGAGTGGTTGAACTCATGTACTGTCAGCTAGCGCACGGCAGTTGGCAGATGTTCACTTGGGGTTGCAAACGCATGGTGAAATCGCATCTGCGTTTGACTATATTGTTTAATTTTGTGGCCCAAGTCATGTTGCATTTATATGTACTTCAGTAGCTGCCACCTTCAAACTCCTTTGGTGCATCACGAAAGTGTGCTAACCACCATAAATAAGGATCTATGAGTGTTCAATCTGTGTTCGTAGATGCTGGAGTTTGGTTTGTGGCTCGGCGTGAGTGAGCAAAACTTACATTTGAGCATCCCAAGGCCACGTGTGATTATACTCATGTACTACGTCATTGCTTGCTTACCACAGTTTTCGCTCACAATCTTGATGTATGCGAGCTTTTTGCGGGCGACGCGCAGTTCAGCCAGGCTGCCTTGGAACGTGGCTTGACAACGAGGTCAATGGACCTGTCCTACGGGGCATCATTTGACCTGGACTTAGCAGCCGGATATTTGATTCCTGACTATATACATGTGTGAAACTTTGACTGTGCGCCTGCCGTACCAACAATGACATAAACACATGCCCGCAGGTATGTGCTATATATGTGTGGGAGCTGCGAGCGCTGCTTTGCTAAGGATTGCGCTGTTGTTGATGAGGCGGCTGAAACGTGGATCACTATGCTTGATGGCGCCCCCTTGCTCCTGGGCGAAAACTTCAATGCATGCCTGTGCAGGAGTTGCGACCGTGCGCGTTTGACCATGCTGTCAACATCCCAGGCTCGTCGTTTACTTGGTGCAATACGTACACAAGTGGCAGATGCACCCTATTGCCGAATGGCCTGTTGGAAGTGGCGTCGGTCCGTGCTGCCAACCGGCTGGCAATACGTTCCTTGCTGCTTGGCTTGGTCGCGCGAGCAGTTGGGGCGGCTGTGCTGTTAGAACAACCTGCCCATAGAGGGGGGTCTTCACCTTGCCAGCGCATCCTACGCCCGACGATCCTGTGATCCAGACACACCGAGCACATACTTTGGAAGATGGGCTGGATTTGCTTGCAATGCAAGGTAGGGGGGTCGACGAGCTGATGCCGGAGACCACCGCAGTTGTTAAGAAGCGCCCTGCTCACGCAAACCCTGCGAGCTCTTCCGGCAAGCGGACACGTGCGGCGGCCCCTGAGGCCTGTGATTCTGTGAGATACTTATGTGCCCGGGGGTTGAACTGTCAATGTTGCTGGTAAACTCTTCACGTATGCGCTCGCTGTTGTGAACGCCGCCAGGTGCCATTGCCCAAGCTCTCGCCAAAGACAAAGCAGAAGTACTCACAGTACTGGGGTGGCCTGTCATACCTGCTATGTATGCAGGGATGGAGCCCAGCAAGATTCCCAGGCAACCCAACAGGAGATGGACCCCGCAGCAGATCAGCGGCAACACCTGTCACCATCGACGGCTGCACCAATGACCGTGCACCTGCAGCCCCAACTACTTGCCCAACCACAGCAGCACACAGACATAGGTGAGCAGCAGGCAAGACCATCAGCCGCAGCACCATGCAGCCTCAACTGGCGGCCCCAATCACTCCACCAGCACATATGGGTGTGAGCCCTGACGTGCAGGCCCAACTACCTGCCACAACGGCCGGTCAGCACACGTGCCCTACACCATGTCCGACCGCGGTGCAACCGCTTGCCCAGTCACAGCAGCATGCGCCCCTGGGCCAACAAACAAGCCCTCCACCATTTCCGGCCGCGCCACAACCGCTTTCCCAATCGCAGCAGCAAGCACCCCCCGGCCAGCAAGCAAACCCTCCGCCGTTTCCGGCCGCGTCACAGCCCCGCCGCCCCCTCGATATTGAGGAATCACTCCCTCCGCCATTTCCGGCCGCGCCACAACCGCTTGCCCCGCCGCAGCAGCAAGCGCCCCCCGACCAGCAGGCAAGCCCTCGGCCGTTTCCGGCCGCACCGCAGCCACTTGCCCAGCCGCAGCAGCAAGCGCCCCCCGGCCATCGCGCAAGCCATCCGCCATTTCCGGCCGCGCCACAGCCACGTGCCCCGTCGCAACAACAGCCAGCCCCGGGTCAGCAAGCAAGCCCTCCGCCATTTCTGGCCGCGGCACGGCCACCTGCCCCGCCACAACAGCAAGCACCCTTCAATCAGCAGGAAAGCCCTCCGCCATTTCCGGCCGTGACACGGCCACTTGGCCCTCAGTGGCAGCACACACCCCTCGATCAGCAGGCAAGCCCCCCGCCATTTCCGGCCGCGGCACAGCCGCTTGCCCCACCGCAACAACGAGCCCCGGGTCAGCAAGCAAGTCCTCCGCCATTTCCGGCCGCGACACGGCCACTTGGCCCGCAGTGGCATCGCCCACCCTTCGATCAGCAGGAAAGCCCTCCGCCATTTCCGGCCGCGACACGGCCACTTGGCCCGCAGTGGCAGCAACCGCCCCCCGAGCGCCCCGATCAGCGGGCAAGCCCTCCGCCGTTTCCGGCCGCGACACGGCCACTTGGCCCGCAGTGGCAGCACACACCCCTCGAGCAGCAGGCAAGCCCTCCGCCATTTCCGGCCGCGCCACAGCCACTTGCCCCGCCGCAACAACAACCAGCCCCGGGTCAGCCGACAAGCCCGCCGCCGCTTCCGGCCGCGATGCAACCGCTTGCCCCGCCGCAGCAGCAAGCAGCCCCGGGTCAGCATGCAAGCCCCCCGCCATTTCCGGCCGCGCCACAGCCGCTTGCCCCGCCACAACAACAGCCAGCCCCGGGTCAGCCGACAAGCCCGCCGCCGCTTCCGGCCGCGACGCAACCGCTTGCCCCGCCGCAGCAGCAAGCAGCCCCGGGTCAGCATGCAAGCCCTCCACCATTTCCGGCCCCACGCAGATAAGTCAGCAGGGACTCCGGTGGCGCTTGAGATACCACTGGATCCTGAAATGATCGAGATCCAACAGTGGGCGATTCGCCAAAGCGCTTTGTTGGAGGGGCAACCGCCGCAAGCTGAAGCACGTGAGGCTGCCGGATCCCGACAGCAAATGCGCCCCGTGGTTGTGAGCCCACAAGACCTGCCATCCCCCCAGGCAACATCGCAACACACTAGCCCCGCAGATTTGGCAACACCACCGCATCAAGTGCAGCACGCCCGATCAGCAATCCCTTCCATCTTGGCTTCGACGAGCCATCAAGCCAGCCCTTTGACAGCCCCGCCCACTCCAATCGACATGGCAGACCAGCCGAGCCCTGCGCACACACAGAGCTCCATGACTGCGCCGCCGACACCGACAGACAGTGCTGCCAGCCAGGTGCCAGCTCCAGGATTGGTCAGCCAGATGGCGCAGCTGTTGATCAACAATACGACTCCCACAGATACCATTTTGCAGATCATGCAGCTGATTGCAAAGCAGATGGCGCCGGGCGAATCTGCGAGTGCTGGCGCCGCAAGGGGGGCGCCACAGCTGGAGCAACACACCCTGCATGAACATCAGCCCCAGCCGCAGCTTTCAACGCAGGCGCATCATCTCCCGCCCGAGCTGCCTGATCAGGCGAAGGAGATGCCAGAACAACATCATCCTCCCGAGCTGACACAGACGCCTCAGCCAGAACAGCAGCCCCCACCCCAGCCGCTGCCGCCGCAGGAAGCCTTGCCAGAACTGCAGCAAAATCAGCCAGAGACCCACGAGCATCAGCCGGATCAGGAAGCCCTGGGACAACCGCAGCAGCAACAGTGTCAGCCGGAGCAGGCCCAGACCCAGGAGCATCAGCCGGAGCAGGAAGACATGGGACAACCGCAGCAGCAGCAGTGTCAGCCGGAGCATCAGCCGCAAGAGCAGCGGGCAGACCCAGCCGCAGCAGACACCACCGCCGTCACGGGTTCCGGGCACACCCGTCGGCTCCTGGGACACCCAGGCAACCTCAGCAGGCTTGGAACTCGCGCTTGCCCCGCGAGTGTGCAACAGCAGCACCCACATGAAGGAGTGGAAGGCGTTTGACCGGTTCATCAAGAGCAATGGGCAGGCTGCCCCGGAGCTCGCGCGGGCGTTCGCGCGCCTTGGCCACGTGTGTGTGTGTGAGAGCGTGTGTTGCAAAACATTTTTGTGATTTTAGCTCTTGTGTTTTTCACTTTTTCAGATGTGGTTTGGGATGATTGCTTCTTGGTGACACATTACCGATCGTGTGCATGTATGCGTCTAAGGCGCGGCGGGTCGGCCAAGCTGGACGCGTTCGCCAAGTTCGTCCAAGCTGCAGGATCGCTCACATGTTGAAACACACGTGTGAACATATACACATAGTTGTGTTGCCTCGTGTCCAGGAGATGCTATGGCCGTGGAGGCGGTGCTCCGGTTTCGGAAGATCCAGGAGACTGAGGATAAGGACAGAGGTGCCCACATGTGTTCCGGAACACGGTTTAGATGCGATGGTGCGTGCGTGCACGCATGTGGGCGTGATTTTCATGCTTGACACTGTTCAGGTGTCTTTGTGCGGTGGGAGAAAGTGCTGGAGCACTACAAGGGCCACACTGAGGAGGCCAGGGACTTTGTCGCCCGACGCCAGCGCGAGAAGGGGGGGACCAGCAGATGCCGGAACGACCCGGCAATTGAGACGTACCTTCTGTTTGGCGAACAGGAGAAGACCATCCGGACAAAAACCCTGGAGGACGTTGCCCTCGAGTCTGATGAGGGCCATGGATCAGGGCCAGCAGGTCGGAAGCGTGCCAGCAGCGGGGCAGCAATCCTTGCCAGGGGCCAGTGACCCACCGGCGCCGCCGCAGAACAAGCCGCCTAAGAAGGCCCACATCGCCAAGGAGAAGCCAGCTGGGACCAACATGGAGGAGCTCAAACCTGAGGACGCAGATGTTGCAGCCTTTGTGAATAACTGGGTGAAGTCGAGCACCGATGCTCAGGGTGTGTGCACCAGCATTTCTGCCCAGCTGCGTGGCTGATCAATCATTGTTGCCTTGAAGCACTGTTGAATGTGTGTGTATTAAGTTGAACATATGGTTAGGGTTCGCAAGCAACCAGACCCACTGCCCTTTCTACAACCACAATTCTGACACATGCCATATGTTAAGTGTTTTTTGAGCATGAGTTTGTGTAAGTGCTTCTGGCCACCCCAGGCTGGAACCTCTGGAAAGCCAAGATGCATTGGCTGGGCTGATCCGCGATTGCAGCGAGGGCTTGGGGTGCGCAAGGAAGGCCCTGATTGCCCTGGGGGCTTATCCCAACAGGGATGACGTTTCACATATTTTGCAGGCTGCTGCAATTTTACAAGAAGCACATCAAGACAGCAAACACCTTGCTCCGTGCCACGGCTGCGCCCAAGCCACGTGCAAAGGGAAAGGCAAAGGCGAAGGCGTGATGGATGTGCGTGTTGGTTGAACGTGTAACTATATGTGTTAAGACATGGACTTCAGGGACAAACAGCTAGTAGTACGGTAGCCGGTGACGTATATGGGTTATCAAATTTGTGTCTGCTTGACAAACGCACATCCACACCAAATGCTGGGTGTGCTTATAGGAATTGGTGTGGCCATGTGCGTGCTGCGAATGGTAATCCTCGTATACACACCCAATACTCAACTGAACCAACCGCGGCATCATGTGGTGTCACACCTCGATGTGACGTCGGCTGTCTCGAGGGCGCCAGTGCTACACGTGCATCATTGCGTTGAATTGTCAATCAGAAGCGTTTGTGTGATCAGAAAACCATGCGTTAATTTGCCGTGTACTAGCGCGACATTTAGGTTTCTAGCTGATTTGGGCGAGTTCACACGTTTTTGGTGTGACTTTCATGTGTAATCAGGGCCGTTGAATCGAGCGATCGTGCAAATGGTGCCAATGGTAAAGTCAGTATACTGTGAACTAAATATAGTCAACACAAATGTGAATTCACCAGACAAGACAATTATCCTTGGCACCAAATAATATGGTGCCGCAATGTGCCGCACTTGAGCTCGTGCCAGACCTCAGCTGATTTTTGTCAGCTAGCCAACCGATGATTGAGCTGTGTTGTGTGTGTGTGATCATGATCAAGCACTTTCACACGATTCCCACAACAAGGCGAGTGCTGTGGACTGGCGTGATGCTTGGGGTTTCAAGGTATGCGTGAACACATCGCATGCTTTGGTCCGGGGGAACTCACACGATCCGATACGTGTGTTGGAAAAACGGGCGCTGCGTGAACGATTGACATGGTTTTGTGATGTATGTGGCGATCATGCATGGCCGGATGTGCGCTCTGCGATACATGTGCCGCCGATGCGTTGGCTTAAGAAATAGTTCGACACATATGGATCCTGAGCTTCAGTAGGTATATGCATATACCCACTTTCACTTAAAACTTAAGAGGTTGTTCGCCAGGACAAATATGAACCAACCAATGCTGTTGACTGTTGCAAGTTGATCATAGGTCCACATGCGATTGCCATGGAGTTGGCTTCATGCTCAAGCGCCTCCGGACACTCAACCGCGGCGCCACACCGCCTGACAAGTCTTCAAGGGGACTCTCATTGAAGGCTAGGGCGAGTGTTTCGGAGGGCAAGATTGATGCTGAAATTGGTGAGCGCTTGTCTTATGATTTGGCCCTTCAATCGATGTAGCAAACGGCGTCTGATCGGCGTGTCAGCCAGGAGAGCCCTATCCTGTGCGTCGCTGCGGCAGAAGTGGGAAAGGGGTCTCGAGCTGGATTGGCGCAGTGGTTTGCGGCGGCGGCCGTCGAGGAAGCTGGAAGCCACAATGTGTCACACAGTGTGCCACTTACTTCGTCGGACAATCGTTGGTGTTGACACAATTGCGAGCAGCTTAGGGTTTGGGGTGCGTACTTTGTGACAGCCGGGATTTTTTGTGGGTGTAACGGTTGCGTTCACCTATTCGTGCTAGGGGCCGTGGGCACTGCGAGCAATCTCTGCACACGGGCATGCTCAAGTCTCGGGACGAACCTCAGCTCAAACATGCATGATAGCTCTGACTTTGTTGTTTTCTCAGAGTCGCACTTTGGTAGGATTTTCAATTGACATCGCAAATATATTGCGCTTGATGCCACGCACTCAGGATGAATGCGTCAAATGCAGCCTGACCTACGTGATGTTGCCCTTTGTGGACGTGCGTGCCCGGAGGCGCCACAAGCTCTTGACGAAGGGCAAGGCAAAGGCAAAGGCAAAGGCAAAGGCAAGATCAAGGCACGCCACCATAACTAAGGATGGTGCAGCCAAGCCGAAAATTGTTTGGTGGGAGTGGCCCGTGATCAGCCCGATGGAGTTCTGCCGGGCGCTTTATGATGCCAATTTGTGGGAACTGGTGAGCTTTGGCGGCAGTATATTTTTTGGGCACGTGACGTTCCATGTTTTGGAATCCAGATCAACCATGTGTGGTTTGTCAAGAAAATGGAACTTGTTTTTGTGTGGAACGATGCTTGCGCAAGTTGAGCATTGCACACAGTCGCTTGCCACGTCGAATTGTTTTTCCGATTGGACGGCCATCAATTTGTTTCGCCAAATTAAAACATGGTCTTTCCGTAACACAGCACATGTCTCTCGAGCTGCGCGCGCAAGGACTGGCGACACCGACTGGCGGAGCTTCTGGGAACAAGCTCGCAACGAGAAGTGGGGGCCGTCCCTTTGCCACAACATATGTCAATTTGCAAGTTTTTTCTCACGTGTGTCAATTGAAGCCCTTGATCCAACATATGGTATTGCCCAGTTGATGAAACGGTCTTGCGTAGAACATGTTTGCCCCCAAGGACTTTTTTAGTACTCGGGTCACCAAACCAATCTACAGTCGTCCAGGTCGCATCCAGTACAAAGCTGGTGCGAGCGTGATCGAGCTCGCGCAGCTGTTTGCACTTTGCACGGGGATGAAGGAGAAGGAAAACGCCGGAAGAACATCTTGATTCTGAGCTTTTCCCCGCTGGCGACACATGGGGCGCACTGGCGGTCGAAGTTCGTTTTCGCCGACCCTTGGCTGACATGCGAACACTCCTGCACGTATGGTTTTGCACGCACAGGTCACACGCGAGCGCCCCCTTCTTTTTTTGTTTAGACATGTCCTTGTACCAAGGTAATCCCCAGCCATCTTCACGCGTTCGACGGCGCAAGCAACCTCACGGTGCAGCACATGCAGCGCCACATAGTGCGGACCGTATGTGCCATTTGAGTTTCGATCCATGTGTGTTTCAATTCCGTGTTACACATGTCATTGTCTCGTTCCCTGGCGCAGGATGAACGAGCTTGCTGCACCACCAGCAGAGGAGAGATTGGGTGGCCACACCCTTCACCTCGTCGCCGGAAAAGGTGACTGGAAGTGGAAACGTGAATTTTTGTGTGAGCCCCGGCATTATGGCCGAGCTGATGGCATTTGCCGGCGCTGCTGCTTGGCTTTCAATTGCCGATGGTTGAAACTGCGGGTTTGTGTAAAGAGCCCATTGCACTTGGATGACACGCACAATCATGAGTGCATTTTTTGGTTTGAAACCACTTAGAAAAGAGTACATGACGTTGAAGCCGCTTTAAGATCAAGGCATTGCGGAAAAAGAAGCAGTGCCGACCGGACAGGTTATTCGCAGGTTATGAGCCCAACGCTCTGACCCAACCCGAGTTGCCATGGCCGAGGACCCCAACAAGGCCCAGGACCCCAGAAGGACTCCAGGGCTGGTGACGTCACGGCGGCGGGTTTGGACAGTGAAAAAACACCCCCGAGCGAAGAACGAGATCAGAGGGCCATTGAGGACGCCAAAGCCGAGGTGTCCGCGATGTGGCCTGGAGGGCCTGACAGCGAACCTCTGATGATGGTGCCAGCGGCGCCGGGGCTCTTCACAGATGAACAGATGAAGAAGTTGAAGGATTGGGAGGAGGAGGCTCCCATGGTGAGCCGCCCGGCAACACATAGCGGCGGTGGCTTTGAGGACTTCTTGGAGAAGTGCCAGAACGACCAGGGTGGTGAAGCCCGTCAGGACCGGGAAGCTCATGCAGGTGCTGGGAGTGCTGGAGGAGCAGGTCAGCGAGGGCATGGGCATGATTCTGGAAATCCTGGATGGGGGGTTCGGGGTGCTGAACTCCAGCTACGGCGAGACGCCGAAGGTCATCAAGGTGGGCAGCAAATGATGCGCCAAGGCATCGGTGAGCTGCAAGGGAACGTGCCAGTGATGCTGGCCCAGGAGATGGTCCAGATCAAGGACATGATGGGCCAGATGATGAAGTACAATCAAACCATGCAGATCGAGCTGAACGTCTGCAGGCAGAAGATCCATGATCTCCAATCTGGAGGCTCAGCAGGGCAAAGCGACCGGTTTGCGACCCCGGATGGGAAGCCAGCAGCCCCGGATGCAGAAGAGGCCTCGAAAGCGGAATCCTCGGAGGAGCTCAAACGAGATGAACCGGCTGCCGGAGAACCGATGGAGGTGATACTCAAGATCCTTCACGGCATGCAGCAGATGCAGAACAAGCTGATTGAGCAGAAAAGCTCAGGAGGCAGCGACGGGCTGGAGGTGGTGCGCGGAAGTGGGGTGGAAATGCCGAAGCTCCCGGAGTACAAGCCTGATACGGCGGCCATCGACATTGGCGATTGGCTTTGCCTACTGGAGCCGGTGGTGGGAGACCTCAGCGACACGGCCTATCAATGGTGGACGAAGTTGATGGAAGCGGCGAGGCTGTGGTATCAGAGATACACCGCAGCGGTGCCGCTGAAGCGATTGGAGATGAGCCCGGTGGCACCTTTGGACCTTTGTGAAGGAAAATGGAGAAGATTGGAGCGGCGGGTGGTGAGCCTGCTGCTGGGTGCGATTCCGGAAGCTTGCAAGGAGGAAATGGTGGCGGTCAAGGCCATGACCTCGTACGAGATCATTTGCCGTCTCATGGCTTTGTATCAGCCAGGGAGCCTGGCGGAGAAATCGGTGATTCTTCGCAACTTGGAATCGCCCCCCGAGGCCAGCGACATCGCGGAGGCGGTGAAAGGTCTTCGGCGGTGGATTAGATGGCGGCGGAGGGCGGAGGAGAATGGCGTCACCATTCCGGACGCATCGGTCTTGGCAAGGGCGGTGGTGAAGCTGATTCGCAAAGTGACGGATCACGACAAGGACCTCGGGTTCAAGGTGGCGCTCACTCGCAATACGCTGCAGCTGGATTCGGTGCCCAGCCACGACACGGTGATGAAGTTCACGGAGCACATCTTGTCGGAGATGGAATCATCAGCCCACATGGACTCCAAGCGCAAGGTTCAGCCTAAGGCTCCGGCGGCGGAACAACTCAAGGCCAAGAAGCTGGAAGGTGCGGAGGAAGTCAAGGGAGAGCAGAAGGGCATGGAGGAGGCCAAGCCTTGCAAGTTCTTCTTGACGGACAAGGGCTGTCGGAGGGGGAAGAGTTGCAAGTGGAGCCACAACCAAAAGGATGAGAAGATGCGGTGTTGGGCGTGCGGAGCGTCGGAGCACCTACGCAAAGATTGCCCACAGGCCGGAATCCCGAGTGGCGACAGGAAGCCGAAAGTGGCGAAGGCCGAGGCGGAGATCCACAGGGTCGACCAGGTGACGATTACGGAGCCCGGGAAGGTGGACACTACGCCAAGGACACCGTCATCCTCAGCCTCAACAAACGGGACGCCAGACCTGAGAAGCAGAACGCCTGAGGCGGAGCCGAATGCGATGCAGGAAGCATTGTCAGAGGCTACGAAGATGCTCAAGAGCATCAATGTGCAGAATCCTGGCGATGCCAGGAAGGTGGAGAATGAGCTCACCCTGAAGGACCTACAGAAGCAGTTGGATGGCATGCGAGAAAGGATGAGGCTGAATCAGATCACCCTCAAGCTGTCCAAGGTCGAGACGGGTGGTGGAAGAGGACTGGTGGACTCAGGGGCGACGAACCCATTGAGGCCGCTGGAGGAGGGTGAAGACATTTCGGGGTATGAGAGAAGGGAAGTGGAGCTGGCGGCGGGAGAGACCTTTCCGCTGAGTGTCACCCCGGCAGGAACGTTGGTGGCTCCCCGAGGAACACAGCCGATTGTGCCGATGGGAGCGCTGGTCAAGGTCTTGGGATGTCGGATGAGCTGGGCGGGAGGTCATTGCAAGATTCGACATCCTGTCCGAGGAGATCTTCCAGTGGCAATGAGCCAAGGGTGCCCCGAGCTGCCCATAAGAACGGCCTTGGAACTCATCGAAGAGCTGGAGGAGGCGCACAGAATCAAGGTGCGGAAGTTGAACACCAGCGACGAGCTGGAGTATGTGAAAAAGGTGATAGAGGAACACCCTGTGTTCCGGGACCTCCCATGGCATGTGAAAAAGGAGCTGTTGGTCATGCCGGCCGACGATTGGAAGCCATTGGGATTGAATAGGTCCAGAAGGAGGAGGTTGGAGCGAATGGGCGGAGCGGTGGTTCACCTTTTCGCAGGGCCTCAAGAAGGTTATGATCTCTCGCGGGCCTACAAAGAGCAAGGTGGAGATCCGCGGGACATCCTGGAGTATGACATTGTCAGGGGGGCGGAGCACGACCTCTTGGCGAACGAGCTGATGAGCGGCTTGATGAGACTGGCGCTGGATGGGAGGATGAAGGCGCTGGTGGGTGGACCTAATTGTCGCACCAGGTCGGTGCTGAGGTTCTATCCCCTGGAGAACCGGGACAGGCCGCGTCCGGTGGGGGCTTGGATGACCTCGACCTCCAGGAAGAGAAGATCGTGGTGGAAGACGACATCCTTCTCTTTCGCTTCATCCTGCTCTACGTTCTGGCCGACCTGAAGGCCAAGGCGGAGGTGAAGGTGGAGCGCGAGGGCAACGTCGGGTTCTTGTTGGAGCAGCCGGCCGAGCCGCGGGATGAATCGAGATGTCCTTCATTCTGGAGAACGGAGGAGTGGAGGAATTTGAAGAAGATTCACCACTTGCGGGAGATTACCTTCAAGCAAGGGGATTGGGGCGGCAAAGCCCCCAAGCCGACGACGGTGGGGACAACGATGGATGTTCGCCTACCTCAGACCGGAGGAGGTCACCTCATGGAGAAGGACTATGGCAAGCCCAGGTGGATGATGACGGACGTGGAGAAGCTCCAGACATCCAAGGAGCTGTCGAGATGGGCTCCGGGAATGATGCGGGAAATCGCTCGTTGCCTGAGATGGGAGCTGGGCGAGACTGGGCCGAAGGTCAAGAAGCTTTCCTGGGAAGAGCACATCAAGCTGGGGCACTTGCCGTATCGGCGGGATTGTGCGGTGTGTCAACGAGCATCTGCACGGGACCGCCCACACAGACGCATCAAGCACCCGGATGGGAACGTCCTCTCGGTGGATTTGTCGGGGCCCTTTCGGTATGGCAGGGACATCGACGACGTGGAGGACAAGCGCTACCTGCTGCTGGCGGCCTACACATGGCCCCAGGTGCACGTGGAGTCTGAGGAGCATCATCCGGGAGAACCTGAAGGTGATGAGCCAGAACATCTTCCCGAACCGGACAAGAAACAAGATCCGGAGGAGGAAGAGGAGGAATCCTTGGAGGTGGAGGGCGGAGACCCGGAGGCAGAGGAACCGGTGATACCGGAGGAGCGTCAGGAGCCGGGCCCGCTGAAAACGCTGTACTTCACGGTGCCGCTGAAGTCCAAGAGCAAGAAGGAGGTGCTGGGTGCCATCCAGGAGGTCTACATCAGACTCCGGCGAGAAGGGCTCATGGTCAACCGCCTGCATTCAGATAAGGGCGGTGAGTTCGTCTCGGGGGACCTGGCGCGGTGGTGCAGGCTGCGGGATATTCGCAAGACGACCCGCTCGCCAGATCAAGATCAGGAAAACGGTCGAGCTGAAGCGGCGGTGGGGGTGGTGAAGTCGATGATCAGACGGGTCCTCATCTCCACGGGCTGGGACTCGAAGTGGTGGCCTTGCGTGGCACGCTATGTGGCGGAGACGAGGCTGGCCTACGACATGAAAGGCACGATGCCCAAGCACAAGTTTGGGGAGGAGGTCCTGGTGCCGAAGAGAGCCTGGAAGCAGAAAGTTTTCGAGGCGACCCACCAGAAGGCATGGTACCTGGCTCCGATCCATGACATGTCGAATGGGCATGCAGTGCACTTGCAGGAGCTGAAGAAGGTTCTCTGTGTATCTAAGGTGGTGGGTGGCCTCCGTGATGGAAGAGAACCGGAGGCTCGGCAGGAAGAGGAGAATCCGGAAGGAGATGCTCTTTTTGAGGAAGCTTTGAGAGCGAGACGGCGGATTCGTCTCAAGACCAGCGAGGCGAAGCTGTTAGATGATGGAGGTGGTGATGAAGTAGCTCTCCGTCTGAAGCACCTGCGGCAGATCATTGTCGAAGAGGAGGAGACGCTACTGGAGGAGGATGAAGAGGCGTCACAGACCTCAATGAGGATGGTGCGGAAGCTTCGCCAGGAGGAGGAGGCGCTGAAGCACCTGGTGCCGGACCATGAAGAGGCGGAAAAGGTCCTACACACGAAGATGATTTCGCCAAACGAGGTCATCAGGGACAAGGAGAAATGGGCGGACTCCATCCGGACCGAGATTGAGGCGCTCATGACGGAGAAGAAGGCGCTGCGAAGGCTTTCCCCGAAGGAGGCGCGCAGCATGATGGAGAAGAAAGGGAACAAGATGACGGTGGTCCCAGGAAAGGCTATCTTCAGCGTGAAGGCTGGGTCGGCTAGAAAGAAGACTCGGCTGGTGGTGTGCGGCAACTACATCGACGCCAATGCGGCGGTGGAGGGTGACACGTACGCGGGTGGCACAGACACCACGGCGATTCGCCTGCAGCTTAAGGTGGGCGCGGAGCACATGTGGACCACGTCGGCCTTGGACATCAAGGCTGCCTTCCTTAACGCCGATCTACATACGGTGGAGGAGCCGGAGGAGGTGGTGGCGATGCGTCCACCGGCGGTGATGGTTCGCTTGGGGTGGGCAGAGCCTGGAGAACTTTGGCTCATTGACAAAGCCATGTATGGGCTACGTCAAAGCCCAAGACGATGGTCAGATCATCGAGACCGCGAGCTGCAGGTCCTGGAATGGGAGATGGACGGACTCGTCTACCACCTGGAGCAGTGCGTGGCGGAACCGAACCTCTGGCGGATGCTGAAGCCGACGGAGGCGGGTGAGAAGCTGGTGGGGCTGGTCTCGATCTACGTGGATGACATCTTGACCACGGCGGAGACGGCTGTGAGAAAGGCGTTCGAGAAGGTCATCAGAGAGAAGTGGGAGACGAGCACCCCGGAGGAGCTCACGGAGCACAATCAGGTGCGCTTCTTGGGAATGAACATCAAGAAAGAGGGCGACGATGTTTTCATTCATCAAAAGGACTATGTCGAGGAGGTCCTGGAGCGGCACCAAGATGAGATTGTGCGAGCAAGGTCACCGATGACCAAAGAGATGTCCGATGAGGCGGAACTGGTTCCCGGGGACTACAGCCAGGAGGATGTCACCCGAGCTCAACGCATAGCGGGGGAGCTGCTGTGGCTGATGACCCGGACAAGGCCGGACCTTCTCTTCGGCATGAGCAGGCTTTGTAGTATGTCAGCGAAGAACCCCAAATGGGTGATTCGCGCCTCGGGCTACATGCTTGGGTACCTCCGCGAGACGAAGGGGTGGGGCATCCGGATCACGAAGGATTCCGGGCAACATTGGTCTGGGCATGGACCTGGCGGACTTCAGGCCTACTCGGATGCATCCTTCGCACCATCAGGAGCACGAAGCCAAGGATGCTCTGTGGTGTGCTGGAACGGTACGGTGGTCGCCTGGAAAGCGGGGAAGCAAGCGTTCCCGGCCTTATCGACTGCTGAGAGCGAGCTGATCGAGGCGATCGATGCGGTGGTTCTTGGAGACTCGGTGGAGGCCTTGATCGGCAACGCCATCGGCATCGAGGACTTTCCGAAGATGCTGTTGTGTGACAACGCGGCAGCGGTGTCCATCGCAACGGACACAGCAGGTGCATGGAGAACGAGGCACCTGAGGCTGAGGGCCTTTCATCTCAGGTGGCGCGTGCGAGAAGGAGAATGGCTGATGAGGCATTGCCCAGGTCAGCAGATGTTGGCGGACCTTGGCACGAAGCCGCTGGGGCCATCGCGCATCAGAGAGCTGTGCGAGCTGTGGAACCTGCAGCCGGAAAAGGAGGTGGAGAATGTCAAGGTGGCCTCCATCAAGGTGAACCTGCAGAGGGAGAAGGTGGTCAAGCTGCTGGTTGCGCTGATCCAGATCACGGCATGTAAAGCCGAAAAGGAGAAGGGCCAAGCAGAGGACTCCATGGACGTGACAGTGCTGGTCTGCATCATTGCGGTGGTGTCTGTGGTGCTGTGCCGGCTGATGAAGGAGCTGGGGGCTGGAATCGGCACTTTGCTGGAAGGCCCGTGCTCGAGAGTGAGGAGGCTGTTCCTCACCAGTCAGAGTGAGCAAGCCACTCAGACAGAAGATGACAGTGAAGTCATCAAGGTGCCGAGGTGGACGCAAGCAGCCACGGAGGCAAGGCTTTTGGAAGCTTCAGTTGGGACTTCCTCGAGGCCAAGCCAGTTGAGGAGGAGGACTAGCGGTCAGGCTGAGGAGCAACCCACAGCCGAGCAAGCTCCTGGACGGCCGGTTGGACCGCAGACGGAGGATGAGAGATTGAATGCAAGGTGGCGAGAAGAGCTCATGGTCATGGAGCAGATCCGTTGGCGTGAGGTGCAGCCGGAACCGGAGGCAGTGGAGGTCTACCGCATCACGTCGATGGGTGATCGAATCCATTGGCGACGCAACTGCTACGGGCTCCGGAACGCCACCATTCGTGGATTAAGGGCGGTGCTGCCATGCCCACACTGCTGGCCGGGAGATCGACAGAGGGCCCGTGGCGCGCGGTCCTATCGGGGGGAAGATGGTTTCCTACATGGCAGTGCTCGTTGTGTGGGCATCGGCCGAGAGCCACTGAGCCCCATGCAGCCGTGCAGATTCTGCCAAGGCGGGGTGACCCGTGACAACTTCGAGAGGATGCAAGATGAGGGCAGATTGCCCCGCGGGATGACGTGACGAGCGGCTTGAGCTGAGCATCATGAACAAGCAGTTCGGATGCTGTGAGGGGGGAAATAGCGACGGGACCCGTCGTGATTTTTGGAGCTTTTGCTCTGCACTCCCAGTGCAAAAGGGAGGAGTGCGGGTTTGTGTAAAGAGCCCATTGCACTTGGATGACACGCACAATCATGAGTGCATTTTTTGGTTTGAAACCACTTAGAAAAGAGTACATGACGTTGAAGCCGCTTTAAGATCAAGGCATTGCGGAAAAAGAAGCAGTGCCGACCGGACAGGTTATTCGCAGAAACAACCTTTTGACGCTTGCCGCAAACAAGAGCATGCGTTCGGAATCCAAGGCTACGCGGGTCGGCATGATCGCCCACGGACAGACACGGTGCAGTGCGCCTGGAACGAGCCGACCGAGGTCGCGGAGGCCGTGATCAGTGGCTGCTTGTCAGATATGGTAATGGTACCCCGTTGCCCAAACATGTACGTATTAATACTGTGCGGCTGATCGATAGGCTTAGGGTTTGGGCTGCTGTCGGCTGTCACCCCAGTGATTTTTGTGGTTGGGCGGCCAGTGCATTCATCCAAGGCGTTGGTCAATCCATCGCGCTTCTTGTCAGCAGCCATATTGGCGTATGTCACCAGACACATGGACCATGATGGATTTGAACTTCGCTGTGTTCAAATCTTAAAGACCCTTGCAACGCTTTTAAAACCAACACGTCTCAACAATTTGACGCGGACATTTTGAATATCAGTTGTTTTGAGCATCACACCCAGCTGGTCGATGGATGCTGTCATGACGATCGGCACGTGTGCGCTTGGTTTTATGAATGGATGCCGCCAAACAAGAAACATGGCGCAGTACGTATACATGTGCTCGAGTTTGATTGGGTGGAGGCGGGAGAGGAAAATGAGGCGGCTACCATGGGCTGGCTGTATATATGACTCATTGAAAATGAGCTCGGCAAAGCAGCCAAGGCTGTGGGACCTGCGCGGCTGGACTCCAGAAATGGAGTGGCCAGATGTGCTCCACGTGGTGTGGCTGGGGATTGGCCGGGACACAGCAGGGACAATTTGCATGTTGGCTGCGAGGTGGTTGGCTTCTGCCAAAGTTCAGCCCCTTTACACCAACGACGATTCGCCTGCCGGAGCTGACGCTGGGAGTGTGGGACTGGGGACTTTACCCGCTTGGGTACAGCAAGGGGTGGGCCAACAAAGTGTTGCCGTTTAGCTGCATTATCAAACAGAGGGGTATATCGATGCATGTTTTCATTTGTGTGCATTTGATTACAAATTGAGTACTGAATTACTCAGGATTTGCTACCTGGCACACTTGCTGGCTGACGCTGGTCAGGAATTGGCAAAGCACGTACATGGTACGTTTTGACGCACCTGCTGTTACAAAATATCAGGCATATACCTGGGCCCTCCTATATAAGTATGCCCTTGTTGTGCTGTTTGGGCCAAAGGCTCCTTTTGGGGCAAACGACACATTTTTTTGCCTCAGTGCATGTTTGCATATTTTGCTGTTTTGCGAAACCAGGATGAAGACGAACATGCGACGTTGCCCGACCCAAAGGCGACATTCCCCGACCAAAAAACGACATTTGCCGACCACGGTTTGGCAAGATTTTGAAGCTGCGCTTTTAAAAGGAAAAGGCCCTTTTTGGAGCAAACGACACAATATATAGAAAAAATGCACACGATGAGCTTAGGACACCGATGTGCCGGAGCTGGCCTACGCAAGTGTCATTGTGTGGGCGCTCAACGAGTGGTCCATGCAGGACACAGGAGCAGCGCGAACGCTCCAGACAGTTCTTTGCCAGCATTATCAGAACTTCGTTTGCGTGCAGCGTCTGCAATTTTGGCTTTTCAGTTTTCTGGGCGTGCGTGGTTGACTCAGGTTGGGGATGTTGTATGCTCAAGCATACATGAAGGAGGCTGCGGCCTCGCTTGAGGCAGGCATGCCTTTGTACAAGCTGCGCCCGAAGTTTCACTCATTCTTGTGTGAAATAGTTCTCCGTGAGTCATTCCTCAATCCAAAGTTTTTTTCATGTTTTGGAGAAGAGGACCTAGTAGGTAAGGTGTGCGGTGGCTCGGCCTCCAGCTTCCAGTGTCCCACTCAGCCGGGTTGTGTGTTTTGGGTGGTGCTGGAGTCTTTTTTTTTTCGTTTTTTTTTTTTTTCTTTTTTCGCCTTTTTTCCTATTTTTCTATTTTTTTTCTTTCTCCTTAGCACTGTTTTTTGTTTTTTGTTTTTTTTTTTTTTTCTTTTTCTGTTTCATTTTTTTTTTTTTTCTTCCTGTTCGGAGTCCCGTACTTGCAGTAGGTAACGTCCACCCAGGGTAGGCGCTCCATGAACGGGCGGGTCTTCAGCAGCCCGGTGGCCGGATTCTCTATGACCCACATGAGCGGGTCGAAGTGCGCCATGATCTCAAGGGCTCTGAGCACCAGCGCGTCGCCCTCCTCGAGTCGTCGAGGGCGCATCGTCAGAGCTCGGCTGTACTCCGTGCAGACCGGGCTGGCCCAGACCATGTCAAAGTGCCCCGGCGCAAACAGCGTGTAGTCCCAGCTCCGGATGTCGCACAGGATCGTGGGCTCAAATTTCGACACGATGTCCAGGGAGACGACCTCCCACCCTGCCGCCTCGAGGGCTCGGCCAATCGACTTTGTGCCGCAAAACAGCTCCAGCAGTCTCGGCATGTTTAACAATTACCACCAGCACAACAAAGCACGCGCAGGCAAGGGCGCGGGTCAAGCAGTTTCGCATGCTCGGACCAATCTTTTTTTATCGGGGACAGAAAAGGATGACGAGCCAGGCTAGCATGTGGAAGTGGCGAGGTGCGCTCCAATGCTAAGGGTGGCAAATTCTTGTGCTTGGAGCCGCTGTTTTGGCAGAGCGAAGCTTCGCTGGAAATCCCATGGGAGCCCAGGGCCTTCTCCGAGGGGCAGCGCCCCAGCGTGAGCTTCGCAACCAACGAGCGCTCGAGGCTCTTCTGGGAGCGGGCCGAGACCGATCTGGTCGAGCAGCTGGCGGCCGCATCCGAGCGCGTCTTCGACGCGAAGCTCACACCCGAGGCCGTGCGCCAGCGGCTGCTGCCCTCTGTGTGGCAATCGCGCGGCGGCGATTGGATGCTGAAAGCCAAGCTGCCGGCCCACGCGCGCTTCTGGAACGCCGGCGGCACGTTTGCGGACCGCCCCGCTGAGCTGGCTCACTGCGCCGCGCGCGTTAGGCTGAGAGCGCGCAGCTTGTGGCTGATGAGCGGCATGTGCGGGTTGAGCCTTGAGGTCACAGATCTGCGCGTGGAGCCACCTTCTCGAGAGTGCCCGCTGTAGTTTCCGCCGCAGCCTTTTTTTTGCTCATTAAAAGAATTCAGAATGACCACCCACGTCCTGGAGCGCCGCGAGCAGCTGAGGCCTGTGCTGAAGGCCGCCGTTGATGCCGAGGCGCTGAAGCGGGGAGCCTCTCTAAAAAAAGGTGAGCCGCCTGCGCAACAAGCTCACTCGCGGAGCGCCCGTGCTGGAGCGGGCAGCCGGTGCGATGCGTGGGAAGACGGGAGGCATCTGAGGGGCGCAAGGGGGGCCTCGACTCATGGGGGGCCAGCGCGAGAGGGTCAGGGGGCAGTCGCGCGAGCTGCTTTACAGCATTCCTGCGAGGAGATTGCAAGCGCGGCCACGGCAGAGCTTGCGGATCGGCTGAGCATCCCGGACTGAAGCGAGGAGCATTTCTTATAAGATTTTTTTAATGACCCTAACGAGCTCATTTTTTTTCTTAGCAGGCATGCGCTCCGACGGCGGCCAATAAGCCGCCCCGCGTGGCATAGCGCCACTGCCCGAAGACTGCACCTCCACACTTTGGGCAGGACTTGCAGCTGACGCGGCACCCATCTATCTCCCGCGTCACTCTCAGCAGGAGCGGGTTGCCCCACAGCTGCAGCTCCTCCAAAGTGCGCGCGGCATCTTCGATCAGCAGCCGCGCGGCGTGCAGGCAGCGCATCAGCGGCTCGCTGCAGGGCTTCTCAGCGGAATCCAGCACCTGCGCAGCCGCGGCCAGGGTCAGCTCCAGGAAATCGCCCTTGGTGGCTCATGGCAAAGGCAGGGCTTCGCGTCGATCGTGAGGTTTGGGGTTATCGGCGAAGGACTTGATTAAGGGGCTGCCCATCAAGTCCAACAGGCTTGATACCTGCCCAATGCGCGCAAACCAAGACAGGGCTTTACTCATCATGCACGCGGCAAGTCATGGACAGATAATAGACAAACGCAGGGCAGAGCGCGCTCCAAAGCATGCGGAAATACTGACAGACTAGCCAGGAGGAGCAGGACATACGGGCAGTATGGCCTTGCCTTGCCAAGCCTGGACAGCGCTACATCGCATGTCTCGAAACGCTGGCGCAGTTGGAGCTGCTGCAGGCCACCCATAGCCACATTGGTGGTGGGCGCTACTCATTCAGCATCTTCAGGCACTGATATCTCGGCAACAGAAGCAAGCCTTAACAAGTTGTTGACGTGCAGCTCACAGCCTTCTGGGCGCATGCGCGCAATGTGTTGCTGCAGCCCACACATGTTCCAGGCAGGAACAATGATTGGGCAGACGACCTAAGCAGAGGTCGGCTAGCCCGATTCAGCCATCGCCCAGAGAGTTGCGTACGCTTCAGCCCCGCAGGCCTTGCGCTGTCAGGCAGAGGCATCCAGCTGTGTCCGATTGATGCGCCCTGGCGCCCAGAACACCTAGCAGCTGCTGCCAGCTGCGTGTAGACAAGCCTTGCCTTCCAACAGGCGTCGCGACCCGACATCGCCCTGGCAACCAGAATATCTGGCTGCATCTGTCAGCAGCTTCACAGCAAGCCGCTTTGGCGAAAATGAGCAGTCCCAGAACAGCAAATGCTCATAAGCATGTAAATGCAATGTCGTGCGACATTTGCCCTGCCAGGTACAACCCCACTCTGAAGGGGGGGTGATGAGGCCGGCGGCCCAGCTGGCTCGCTTATACCGGGGTTGCCTGAAACACCGAAGGGGGGGTCAACGCACCTCCTGCTCCAGGCGCATCCGTGCCCTGGAAGCAGTGCTACTTTCAGTGTTAAAACCCTCTAGGCCCCGTGCCGAAATTGGGTAGCTGTTCTGAGGTCCTTGTTGGTGTTGCTTCCCAAGTTCCATTGATCGCCATTTGGCTCAAGACACAATGGAGGTTCAAGATCTGATGTGTGACTGCATACATACGTGATCGGCATTGAGAGCGAAAACACTTCGCTTGCGCTGCATTTGTCAGGACTACTGTTGTAACTATCATTCCTTCTTCCTTACAACGTTTACACGGGTTCGGCTATAACGGCATCGTCCGTATACACCTTTCTACGTGGTTGGTATTGAAGCTTGAGGGTTCGGCGCACAGCGTCCCACGGGACGTCACCTTGCCGTCTCTTGACAGGTTATCAGCCGTAACTACAAGCTCTACACTGGACTGGGAGACAGCTGTTTTATTGCGGGTACAGGGACAATAAAGGAACGATAACCTACACAGTACAATGGCGTCTTCGGCGAGCCCAAGTACTGCAACTTTTGGGAACAGCAGCTCAGAGGGATCCAATGGATTGATGGCTCTTCCTGCGGTGATGGTTATGATTGCAGATTCACAGGATGAACCTGGGAGCGGAGGTTCCGCGCTATTCAGCGACATCTCTACCCCCACAAGATCATGGAAGCAGATCGATGTTCATCAGGAGTCGAAGAAAAGAGAATCCCCACCGAGAAGATCATCATCTTCGCCTGCAACACCACGGACGTCGCAGAAGGGCGTGAGATCGACATCGAAGGGTGGGAGGTCAAAATCACCCACCAGTGCAGATTTTCGCGCCGTGATCAAAGAGAAGAATAAGATGGAGGTGGAGATCGGGGAATATCAGAGGACACTTGATGAGATGTCGGCAGCAATGGCGAATCTTAACCAAGAAGACTATGGAAGCACCATCCGGATCCAGGAGCTGGAAAGACGATGCGAGATTGCCAGCAAGCAGTCGGGACATCTAGTGAGTCACCACCAACACCACATGGCTGAGGCATGGCGCAAGTTTGAGGAAGAAGCCCAACAGATGCGAAAGGTGGAAATGAACGCATTTCAGTACGGGGAGAAGAAAGACATGGAGTCGAATATTATGATGCAACAGATGAG